TGTAATCTCAGATGAAGTTAAAATCTACAAATAATTCAACAGAGGAACAAAAAATGTAGCACAGTTCATTGCTCATATCTTTTTCTTTTTGGAAATGACTAATTTAGGAGGAAGACACTCATTTATAAAACAGGATCATATTATCTCCCTGGTGACAGGTTAAGCAAATATGAATCCCAACACTAGCCACGACAGCCTATCGAATTACAGTGCCACATATCAGAACTATCAGCATGCTTAGTTTCAAAACAAGAAAAAAAATCATAGCAAGAGAAGCGTGTGGCTCAAGTGAAAATACTAGGAAACTGGTGTTGAAAGTAGCCTGACAAATACTTAGCCTAAAAATTTGCAGCTGAAATTTTGGTAACCAACTTAAAACTCCTGGATATAAATTTATCTGTGCACAACAGAGCAGGTGGGATGCTAGAGGAAGAAGAAAAAGATGGGTCAGCTGTCAGGAACAGCCATTTGCTTAGGAAACTGAAAGCTAGTCCCATAAGAAGAGAGAAGGCATGGTGAAAACACATCCTAGCCTGATACAGTCCCACAACACCCACAGTATGCTTTGGGTTGATAACATTGTCTGTATATGTGGCCAATTCCCACACTTATATACATACTTATATACATACAATCTTCAGTAGTAACTCACTCTAATTGGGAGCTTTGGAGAAGTAGCATCAAAAATAAAAGCAACAAGTTTAGAGATCAATTTTTATAATTTGGATTTTATCATTTTATTATTTCACAGGTTTCTTGGCTTGACTTTTCTTTTCTGAATCACTGTTTCTCTAAGCATTACTAACGTTGAAAGTGCTGTAGTCCATGTCTAAGGCTTGCACTCTTCTAGCATGTTTTGCAAGAAACTCTTGCTCTTGCGGTGAAGCAGCAGGTTAATTGTGTTCAATACTACAAACTCAGCTTCACCCATCAAACCCAGATCTTTGCTGTAACACATGGTGTGCCTCCTGATCTGGTCTGTCAGTTTTCAACAGTACTAGAAAAATCAATAATCTGATAGAAAGCCACTATACAGTTTGCTTCTAAAAACAATTTAAAATACAAGCTTTCAGCTTTTCACGTGTGCAAGCTGAGGCTTTGTTTTTCCTGTGAGTTAAGTCTGTGCTGGAGGAAAGAGAGCTTTAGTTCTACCAAACTTTTTATGCATGTCTATGCAGTTAGTGCTTTTAAGAACTGTATGTGGAAATATCCATCAGTATGTAAAAGTAGTAGTTGCTTTGTTGAATCCATCGTACAATGGATTAATATTTGTGCATTAATTTTGAAAGTCAAGACAAGCAGTCTGAACACAGATCACCTTAGCAGTGCAGAAAACAGGTTCATGTTTTTACGGCAATATTTAAATACTTCAATTGCTAAGTACACTGCTGTTGTACAAAACAAAACTGCAAGATCAAAATATGCAGCCAAGTTTACTTACAGGTAGAAAGAATCATGTCTGGTTATCCGTTTATATTCGAATGAAAATGGAAACCTCTCTTCATGAGCTCTGCCTGTGAAACAGCCCAAGCTGAGCTCTTCGCTCTGATATGAAACATGGTAAACCACAAGTATTGCTTGACCATGCCTACTTACCTTTTATTAAAAAAAAAAAAAGCTCCAGAAGGGGGCCCTAGAAGGAGAAAAAAGTGTCTGCTTTCTAGTAGCAAACATTTTACTGGAAAAAAAAAGTTATTAAACTGTTATCATAGGTTCAAGTATTTCTTTTAAAAAAAGGATAAAAGCCACAATAGATGTAAATAACAGCATTTGGTTCTGTCCAGATGGATTTTTGACACCAACATTTGAAAAAAATCAGTAACAATAAGAAGGGGAGGAAGGACTGAAGTTCCTTAAGAGTGAGCAAGCTCATCCAGAAGAAAGGATGGTACAACATTTCAATCTGCCTTTGAATACATCAGGAGTCAGCAAGACAGCTGCCTCCAAAGGCATTCTGATCCTTTCTAAAATTAGCCACCTAAGGCTATATTCAACTAAAAAAGTGCATTCATTGATAAATTGGGTCCCTCAGATTTCCTGACATCCTAACTAAGTATCAAATCCAAAAGCAGGTAGGCAGAAATTATCCTCAGATACTGTGAAAAAGCAGGTGAAAATATTGGATTCAGAGCACCCACCCCACTGAGAAAACTACTGCCAGAAGTCCACATAGTTAGGGTGTGTTTTATCATACAAAGTAATGATAAATATTTAATTATTTTAAAGAAACAGGCTTAAGGTTCATTGGAAACTATTCATCTTCTGATTTTCCTATGCTTCATTTATGTTTTAAGAGAACATTACTTACTACTGTAAAATTCTTCATGATGTATTGTTGAAAGTGTTGGCAACACCATACTTTGCAGGATCTCCATGGTAAAAGTGGGGTTCAAAGGAGTAGTTAGGGAAAGAAAGATGAGCTTGGCTTACATTAAATGTTCCACATCATTTTTTCTACTACATGTAGAAACCCCTAGATTTTCCCTCTTAACAATACGTCCTGTTAATATTGATTGGGGAATGGTTTGGACTCAAAAATTTGACAGATTGGATTGCATAGTTGGAATAATCTTCTGAGACTTTGTCATTAAGAAAAAAGAGATAGGCATTTAAACCTTTTCTGACAGTCTGTAACTTTTCAATGGAATACTGTGAGAAAAACAAAGCACTTCTTCCAAGAGAGAGGCAGCTTTCTCCTTCTGAATATAAAGGTTTAGGCAAAGCAGTGAAGGGATTTAAGCGTCTCCAAAACTGATTACAGAAAAACTCAAATGCAAAAATGATAGAATGCATTAAGCTAACTATAGTTACCTTTAATAATTTGACTGGAAATAAAGTCCACCGTACTCCTCTCTGACTACTTGCAAAAGAAATTTAAAAGGTTTTGTGCAATATATTTCCTATTATACATGGCACAAGAGTACAAGTAGCAAAAGAAAAAGAAAGTGTAATAGAGCTACTCAGGAGGTAGCTACAGCAAAACTGGAGTGTAAATACTCCTCATATCCACTTGCACAAAGTTAGATTAACTGAAACAGGCTTCAGCAAGGCTGTGGAGACACTGGCTTCTAGCAGAGGGGACATGGCAGGTAACTTCTAAAGAGAGTTCAGGCATTTCTGCACTTAACATTTCACCATGGCCAAATTAATTTAAATATTGTCCTAGTTAGAACAGCTGGGACCAGTTCATCACTGTATGGGAACCCAAAACTGTGTATTCTACAGCCTTCCATACCATTTCCCAGAAACTGGTATCAATAGACTATTTACACCCTCTGCCCAGAGCAGCCTGACTCCTCAGGCTATAAACTAGGTGTTAAGAGGCCTGCGAGATAGGAGGATGTCTCCCTGTTCCTTCACACCCTTTGTGGAACTCCTCGCCCTGAGGAAAGTACTGGGCATTCCTGCCTGAACTGGAGAATATATAATCTTGGAGTCTTGGAACTTTTTTAACCACTCGTGGGATCCAGAGGAAGACTGCAGATCACCGCTCTCATCCAAACTGCAGACCACCACTCTCGACTGGACTGCAACCACCACTTTTCAACCAGACTGCAACCATCACTCTCGACCGGACTGCAATCACCACTCTTGACCAGACTGCAACAGCACTCTCTCCAACAGGTTTTCCCCTCTCCTTTTACTTTGGCCTCAGGGGGTCCAAAGAACACCACTCTGTTCATGCCCCAGGGTGCTGGGTTATAAATTTGGGGTTTGTGGGTTAAAACCAATTGTTTGTCTGTATAATTGTACTTATTGTATTATTTTATTAAATTGTTATTCTGACTTATAATCTCTCTTTTGAGTTGAGTTCATTTCCCCTGCTGGTTTACCTCTAAACCAGCACAAATATATATCCATTCTACCATTTATGTATTTAGTATAGAGTATGTGTACACACAGAAATATATACATACATGGACTATCATAACACTATAATCATGTGAACAATGAGTTCGACTTATGATGTACTGACAGTAAATTGTTTGCTACAAATTAATTGGTCCCAAACAATAGTTAACATTCAGTTTATTTACACACGTGTAGTATGACATTTTTTTGTTATGAACAGAAGGGTTAGATCACTCTATGTACAGATGACAGACAGAAGAGCTCTCCTTAAACACACTTGAGAATTTACTTTGTTTCATTTACAATCCCACATACAGAGTTGTGTATTCAAGTGAGGGTAGGTCAAATTTCAAGACAAACCCCCCACTTTATATAAATAAATGCATTGAATTTATATATTTACATTACATACAGCATATAAATTATTTTATAATTAATCCAAAACTTGGTATTATGGTACACTGACAGCCAGTTGTGCTGAGTCTTGGACTTAGTTTTCATTAGTAACATCAAGACTAACCATGGGAGGTCTCTGCTTGACCAAACAGCTTAGAATGACTTTGGAATATCACGGCTCAGTTCTGAAGCAAGGCTTTTAGAGTGTTACACTAAACTGAAGACTGTGCTGGCAACAACCTCCTATGTGCAAACGAAAGAGGCATGTTTTGTCTTCTTGATGTGCCATAAAACACCCATCAACTGAGAAAAATAATGTTTCTGAAAAATCTCTGGAAAATTTTCAATGTCAGTAAATAGTAATTTATAGATACCTTCCATTTTTAAGCATGCAAATCACTACTAATACTACTGCCTGTGTAAAGAGAAACTCAGAAACATGGACTGTATGTACATGAAACCAACCCACTAAATGCAAGTGAGGCTCCTGACCTTTGGTCACATTGTCTCCCTCCATAAAGAGTTCAACTTGCCAGCTAAGCAATGCTGACTTATCAGAGAAAATATAGAGATTGTTAATATTGCTGAAGACACTGTGCTCATTTCCCAACATCATGTAAAACTCCCCTTTGTGCTTGAGTGGATTAGCTGTTACAGGTTCCCCACATTGTTTAGCGACATCCAGCAGCTTACAGGATCAAGCTCTTTAAAAGAAATTATGTAGCCCCATCTCTGGAAAGTGGCTTTTTTTCTGTGCTTATGCTGCTGTTGTCTTTCTTCAGAAAGCATCTTCCCCCTCTGCAATATCAATGATTGCACGAAGCAACTCTTCAAAAGTTGGGCGTCCCTCTGGTTTCTAAAAATAAAAACAATGCACAGCTGTGATCAGAAATCAATAAAGTTCTGTTGATTTTGATAAAATATTGGTCATGATATCATTCTGTGGCAATGAATTTACCATTTCATTAGATATGAAATGCAAAAATATTTCCTTGTCTGGATTTTGGATCTGTCACCTAATCTCAGTAAGCAACACCTTTTCTTTATGCTTTGAAAAAGCATAAATAGGTCTTTCTGGACTACTCTTCATATAGTTTATTATTTTGCATAGTTCTACACCTTTTTATTTTTCTTCCCCATCCCCACCTTTCCCCAATGAACAGTTCCAATCTTTCTTTATGCAAGTTTTTTATGCTCCTAAGAACTTTGAGTGCCATTCTCTGATGCCTCATTTATATCAATTTTATTTTTAGACCGCCAAAATGAGACCATGTCACAGACTTACACAAAAGTATCTTTCATTTACTCTATTTTCCATACAGTTCCTCAATGTGTTTTATCATCCTGTTTGTTTTGTTTATTTAAATATTGAATCACCATCCCTGGAAGTATTTAAAAGGCATGTAGATGTAGCACTCACGGACATGGTTTAATGGTGGACTTGGCAATGCTGGTTTAATGGTTGGACTTGGTGCTCTTAAATGTCTTTTTCAAGCTGAATGGTTCTATGATTCTAGGATTGTGGTAATACACTTAGGTAATCTCTTCGCTGACTGCAGAAGCAGCTAGACAGACAACACTGGCCATCTGGATGATAAAAGAAGAATAAAATACTAAAGCAAAAATATTATGGTCCTGAGCCAGCCAGAGCTAAGATTAGTGTGTGTGAAAAGAAAGACAAGGTCAAGCTGGAAAGCCGCTTGAGGCATGATTGTTCTTTGTGACCAAAAGCAGTCACGTGCGCATGTGTGGTACGTGTGCTGATAAAGAAACATCTGGCCTGGCTTGATAGCTCGGACCACAATATGTTTGGTTTAGAATTTTATTCTTCTTCTTTCATCGTCCAGCTGGTCGGTGTTGTCTGTCTAGCTGCTCCTGCAGTCAGCAAAGGGATTACTTCAGTGTATTGCCACAGTCCTAGAAGCTGACCTTCCTGACACAGTTAATTTCACATCTCCTGAGTGCCTGGATAGCTTGCACTTTTCCTCCATTTAGTTACATTTAGGTTTGTATCACCTGATGAATTTTAAAGCCTCAGTATTCATTTCAGTCTGCAAACCATTAATAAATTTATTAAATGAGGACTGAGGTACCTACAGTTAGTCATATTTCATAAGAAAGATTGACAGAATCTTGCCATTACTTATGCTCTGTTGGTGATTTGCAAAGATCCTTTCTGTCCCACATAATGACTGCTTAGATTTTAATGTTAATAACCCTTTCTGAAATGAACAAATTTTTAACCAATTTGTTGATGTTCATATAAGCCTGTAAATACATTCAAAGAGCATTACCAATAATAATAATAAAAGCATTAGCAATAAATTATCATTGTTTTCCTGCTAATTTATTATTCCATTTCAAGTTGGTTACCAAGTACAAACTAAATGTAATGCTCTGTAGTTTCCTTGCTCCTTTGAATAGCTTTTTTGAACCACAGACATGTCTGTTATTCCACAACTCTCTAGGGCACTGTTACTTTTAATGTATTTTTTGCTGCATAGCCCAACTGGTTTGTAAGTTTTAGATCTCCACCAGCTGGTATGGTAAGTAATTGCTCTCTATTCCAGCACCACCTTCTCCAAGACAAGTGTCAGAGAGTATGTCATCTTGATTATTTGAAAAGAGCATTTTTTCCACAGTTGACCCTGTGGCAAGGACTAACTGGAAAGAAATCACAGAATGGATAAGGTTGGAAGGGACCACAGTGGGGTCTTATGATCCAACCTCCCTGCTCGAGCAGGGCCATCCTAGAGCACATTGCACAGGATTGTGTCCAGATGGCTCTTGAATATCTCTAGTGAGGGAGACTCTGCAACCTCTCTGGGGAAACTATTCCAGTGCATGGTCACCCACACAGTAAAGTTGTTCTTCCTCATATTCAGGTGGAAGTTCCTGTGCACCAGTTTCTGTTCACTGCCTCTTGCCCTTTTGCTTGGCACCACTGACCAGAGCCTGGCTCCATCCTCTTGGTATCCTCCTTTCAGATACTTATAGACATTGATGAGGTCCCCTCTGATGTCTCTTCTCAAGACTGAACAGTCTCAGCTCCCTCAGCCTTTCCTTTTAAGAGAGATGCACCGGTCTCTTAATCATCTTTGTCACACTCCACTGGACCTGCTCCAGGAGCTCCATGTCTCTCTTGCCCTGAGGAGCCCAGAACTGGACACAGCACTCCAGATGTGGCCTCACCAGGGCTGAGTAGAGGGGTAGGATCATCTCCCTTAACCTGCTGGCAATACCCTTCTGAAAGTAACTCACGATCCCATTGGTCTTCTTGGCTGCAAGGGCCACTGCTGGCTCATGGACAGCTTGTTGTCCACCAGGACACCTAGGTCCTTCTCTGCAGAGCTGCTTTCCAGCAGTCCAGTCCCCAAGCTGTATTCGTGCATGGAGTTATTTTTCCTCAGGTGCATGACCCTGCACTTGCCTTTGTTGAATTAAGTATCTTTCTACACTCTTGGTTTCCTCGATTACTCTCTCAAAAATAGAGACAGCCCATTAAATGCACCTATCTTCTTAGAGCTTTTCTGTTTCAATACTACAAAAGCTGTTCCATTCTAATTTAGTTTCTAAAGTATTAAATTTGAGTTAGCTGCCCCTTTGACTTCTGTGAAAATTGTACAGTCAGTATCCTTCTGGGTTAGGAAAATTAATAGTAGAGTATATTTTTATCTTTCCTTATAAACGTTGGAATTTGTATTTACATTCAACTGCAAGTTAACCTTTACTTCCTACAGAATTCATAATCAGGTAATGAAGCATTCCTTTAAAAATATTTTCAGTCATTCTAACTTGGTTCTGTAATGACTAATAAACTGAGGCAATACAAAATCAGATTCTCCACCTCTGGGCCTTTCTGACCTTATTTTTTCTTGGTAGCACTATTTGTATGCAGATATAA